CGTTTCAGTGATTCTCAACTGTTCTTCTCGTAGACAAGCTTCAACCAGCCGGACAAAATTTCTCGATGTTTTTGCATTGTTGCAGAAGAAGCAACGTGTATTGTTAACCTTTCAAGTAGCATACGGGTCAGCCATTTTATAGGGAACGATACCAGCGGTAAAAGGAACGATAGGAATACTGGCGGCTGAATTAGCCGGCGCTTTCGTTATTCAATTACTTTTTACCTAGCGTTGTTTTTCAAGAACAAACCGGCGAGTTAGATGAGCGTTGGCTAGAATTAGTCTCGTAATTAATTAACGAAAGAATTCCAATTTTTATGGTTGTCGTTGCTGATTGAAATTTGAAATTTAATGAACCAGCCTCTGCACAGATCATATTATTTTTCTTAGCTGAAAAATTTTCAAAAAATTATTTATTCTCATTTATGTCTTGAAGATTAATATGAAATCTTCATTTTGCAATTATGAATATTTCTATCCAACAAATGAACTTCGAAGATACGAATAGTAGAAATGAATTTCCCAGCCAACTACTGTATATCACAAACCATTACTTTCGATTATCCTCATTCATCAGCATTGACAATCTAGCACGTGTAACCGTGCGTAGAAGCATCGGGGTTGTGCGGTGTGTTGTATCAATCGTGCCATAAACCTACGCTTACCTCGGTACGCTTGTCTCCGAACCGCTACCAGCAAATTCCAGATTACCCTACGCCTCGGATAACATTTACATACGGCATACATTTACCGTTCCAAACCAGCGGCCACCGGATCTCCGTCGTTGCGGGCCCCCAGCGATACACATTATGGTTGAAACGAAATAGGGATGGTTGCCGGCGAACGAAAGGGGTAGACGCTCGTTTTCGACTACACGCGGACGACATCTGAGCAAAATTGTCCAGCTAAAGCTGAAATTATATTATATTTACTTAGATTCTCACTTTTGTACAGAAAGTGGATTCCGCGAGGAAAATTCAGAGAAATGTGTTTATTTTAAAACTGATATAAAAAATTATATTTCACGAGATTTAGAATGAAAGGATCTTAAATTGAAATTTAAGCAACACCGATACCAACATCGAGGGCGATGGTCAGAACTTTCCAAGCTGGCTAAAGATATTTGGTAGAGAAACAGCAATACACTAGCGTCTTTATTTTCGTACTACAAACCAGTAGCAGTTTCACGATTTCCCGTCACGCGATTCCCCATTGTTCCACCGATAAGACGCGGTGTTAAGGTGGCTGGCGCTATTGTTTGCCAGAAGTCGAAGTTGCGCTCAAGCCGGCCGTTATTAGCGCGCGAACGTACGAGGTAGAACTAACGATTTTGGAATGTTATCGTCGGGATTACCACGGGAAGAGAGAACTTTGTCGAGGCAGTTAAAAGTTAGACGGTGAAGAGGGTTCCAGGGAACAGCCAGCATCCCGGAGTCTCCGGGAACTATAAAATCTCACGCGATGCTTACGCCCAAGAAATGATTTATCCCTAACGAATTCGAAGCTTTGCCTCTGACGCTTCCTTCGCCCGTTAAGATAACGCCCTTAATTGCCTTCCTCTTAGACGTTTCTTCTGAAATTGAAGAAGCATTTAACGAGCTTTCGAACGCGATCGAGTGCGATGTATTTTTGTTGGTGAAAAATTTTCTTTCTTCGAAGAACTTTCGAACGTTTGTTCTTCATTGAAACTCATCAGGCTGAAGTTACGGTGGTTGGTAGATAGCGAACGGGTTACTCTCCATTGTTTAGCGCAGCGATAGTTACGAGCTTGATGGAATACAAAATAGAGACGTGACCTAGCTGAATCGAGGGATGAATCGAGGGGATGGGGATGCCGATGGATAAGGGGAAAAGAGAAATAAATCGGGGTAGAAAGCGGTAGACAATGACGATTCATCGACGCGTAACGTGCGAATTTCCAAGCGAATATCGCCGCTACGATCGGTCGGGTAAAAGGTGTCGAAAAGAGATTGCGAATGTCACTGATGATGAAGAGAAATGTAATTGCGGGAACGAGATTCGAATGGAATTGAATTCGAGCTGTAAATTTGGAAAGCTTTGATAGTTTCCTTACTTGAGAAAGGGGAAAATTAGCTGAGATAAACAATTCACATTTTTATCTAGTAAATTTTTTCTACTTCAAATAATCTTGTATTTGAATTTGATAAATATCAACAAATTTATTAAATCTAATGAAAAATTTTATAGAAGCATTATTAGATTCTAAAAATAAGTAGAACCCCGATGCAAATTATATTGTTGAGAAGATGAGGTGTAGAATAGAAAGATTTGGCATAGAAGGGTGTGAATAAATAAAAAAGGAATAGTATCGACTACGTGTCGAGAAAGAAGACGAAGAGAATATTACGTGTATGTCTGTGCAAGACCTCAGTGTCTGTTGTTCGAAGTAACGCAACAACGCGGCTGGATCTAATGGTGCGAAGTTCCGGTTGCATTCGCTTCACAGCCAAGTTTTATCGTTCTAGTTGCGACTTCGGTGACAATTTTTGAGTAGTCTTTGTGTTGTCCGCTTTGCCTGCGAATCTCTCGTTTCCATCCCCCTTTTCCTGCTTTCCACCCTACTCCTTGCTGTTTATCCTTTGTCGAAGTACTAGCTACGATCGCCTGGTTGCATCCAAATTTTTGGCAATGGACCAACGTGAAAGGGTTTTGTTCTTTTTATTAGCAGGCTTTCCTTGCTTTCACCACTTCATATTTTATTCAACGAATATCTTTTACTTCTAACGATCTCTCTCCCCTTAAAATATCATTTTCTTTTTTTTTCGGTGGATGATTTAAATTCCATGTAATTTCCAGCTGAAATTACGGCTGGAAATTCGAATGCAATTATGGTTGAGTTGTAAATTGAAAAAGGTTCCTATGCACGAGATCGTTCGTGTTCGACACGTATCAAAGGATCTGTGCTGGCCTAAAAGAAAGTCGTTAAAATCCTTTATTTCGTCCTGTCGTGCTGCTAATTGCTTCATATCGAAACTCGTATCGACATGCGACTAGGAGGAATTTTTTTTTGTTCACGATAGCTTGAAAAATATATGTGTGTTTAAATAAAAACATGATTTATTTACTGCCTTAGAAACTTTATTTCTTAGTATTATACACTCATAGTCGCTTATTTGGTAATTTTATAAATTATACGATCTTACATATTTAACAATTCTTATAGGCATCTTAGTTTATTTAGTTTCGAATAACGTCTTGAAATTGTCATGCAATTTTCTTCTGATTTCTGACAGACAAAAAGTATTACGTCGATATCTAGATTGTTATGGAAAGCCAGTATCGTGTTTCGAGCGGGTATAATAGTACCCCTCCTTAAATGATTCATTCCTGTGGAACACGATATTGTACTTTGGATCATGTACGCTTGATTTTTGCACGAACATGTTCACTTCCCTAAATTTCCGCTATTAACTCTTGTTAATATCCCTTTAAAGCGACGCCACGTACTATTATCCGTGGATAGATCTAAATTACTATAATTTTTGAAGAATTTTCTCGATTTAACGTAAGTACCCAATAATGTGTCTTTATCGGCTTGATGTATCACTCAATGTTTATTACTTTAAATTGCCTGAATTTACTAACTTGTGCAAATTTATGCACACAGCTGTACGTTTTCTTTTAACATTCATGCAACGATATTTTTCACAGAAATTATGAAAAATTTTCTCCGGTAGATCGTTCATTGCTTTAATACAGTACGATATGATAAATGAACTGGAAGCATGGTAGTAACGTAAACATGTATTACAAAGTATTACTCAACACCTCTCTCATTTTCACAACAGGCATGACCTCGGCTCGCAGGTTAATTTTCTCAAGCTCCACCTCATACTTCACCCTAAACTGACCTTATTCTCAAGTGCATACCGTCAGCCATTCCTAGCGAGCACGACCCAGCTACCCCATAAAATTATCGTGTCTTTCATATCCAACATAAGATCGATCAAAATTAAGGATCACTCAGACGAACAATATTATGCTTCCCATCGATCAATTTTCAAAAAATTATTTTAAAATCTCTGTTGTATGTACAAGGGTTTCATCTCTTTTCTGTTTTTTTTTTCTTTTCCTTATTATTTTTCAACATTGTCTTTTTATATCTTCAACGCGTCGTAAACACTATAGAAATGTTGGAATGTAAACTCTTGGAAAATGAGGAAATCCGGACAAGATAGTTAGAATTTTCGCAGGCTCTTTCCGGGTAACATACGTTCGAACTTGCTCGTTCCATCCTTTCGTTCTGACCTACTAAATTATTCAATTCATTTCCTTGCTACCCCCCCAACTAACTCGAACTCCAACAACCGTCTTCCTTTTTCTTCTTTCCCTCTTCTTTCGCTCGTGACTTCATCCCACGGCCGGTCACGTCCATCTTGAATTCAAGTTTCGCTTTTTGTCACGGATTTGACGTTGTTACCTCCGTTGAACGTCTCCGGGGAGGTTCACCCTCTTGGTCGTGGAAAATAGACCGCGTTATAAGTAATGCATGTCGAGTTTCGTGTTGTCCTCGCGTTTTTCTTCCTCGCTTTAAGCGAGTCGCTTAACCCGCCGAGGTCGTGGCCTCTTTTATCGTGAGAAAGGTTATACAATCGTCTTTCTACCGGAAGTGATCTTTTTCAAAAAGTATTCCAACATTTATGATAATATTTTACGCTAGGTTTTTCGAAAAATATCGCAAACAGCAACGAACTTAAATGTCTTCCTACGTTGGATATAAGAAACAGTGAAACTTTTTCCTTTTTCATTTCTTCCATGTAGGTACTTACCATTTTTCGAGATAAACGGTGGCTAGTAACAGCGTGAAAACTCTATAACTTCACTGTGTATGCGTGTGTCTGTGTTTTAATATTCACTGTAAACTGTAATATCACCACTTTTCTGAAAATTTAGAATTATGTAAACGATTATGCGAGCTGATGTTCCGGCGCATTAACTTCTTAATATACCTCTAACGATAAGTTTGTTGTCTTTTATAGAAATTGTATTTGGTGCAGAGCTTGGAAGCAGCCTATATACCTGGAGGGTGGTGACGATGTGGTGAGTCAAAAATGAAAAATTGATTATTATATTCGTTTATTATAATGCGTCGTAATTGATGAGAAGACGAGGCGAAAATAATTATTAAACAAAGGATAATTGATCCTGCAGGCAATATCGCGGGTAGACAAGATGCATCCGCGGTGTAATGAAATTCCTGCTGAATTTCTGTCGATATCTACTTGCCACGTACGCGAGCATTGTTTTCCAGAGCGGGCTTAAAACGGTGCTGAATTAGCGCGAACACAAAAGAACAACATTTCCCCGTTGGAAATGTACCAGTTACGTTATTACATTGTTCGTCTTTATGCGCTTAGAAAATGATTAATTATGTTGTGCATCCGAGAGCTTCCGTCGAACTGAATTCGAGCAGCGTCGTCGACGACGAACAATGCTTCTCGTTTCTTGGATTGAATTAATAATTCTCTTGATTCTGGCCTTATTGCATTACGACAATGGGATTTTCGTTGAGTCATTCCTAAGGAAGAAGAAACTGTTTGTAAAGTACATATAGGAAATAAGGGGAATTTTGAAAATTTCGTTTTGATATTGTTCTGAATATAACATTTGGAAAAATCTTTTATCTTTTCCTTTGCAATGCAGTTTCTTCTTTGAATTTCAAGCTGAAAGGATTTACGAGGGTTGTAGGAAGTTGAAATCGTTCGTCGAATTTTGGCAATTTCGTACGTTAAGACCTGCAGAAACGGTTCTTTATCCCAATGTACCAAAATGACAGGGGTAAGTTGGTGAAAAAGATTCATCCGAAAGAATCTCAAAGCCGTTTTCTCTCTGCTGGAAATAACCGTGTCTGATTTATCGAGCGCATCACGGTGTAATTTAGCAAAGACGAGCACGCCATTCCTCTTTAGCCTTAGCATCTGGAATATATATATACACACACACATATATATATATATATGTATAGGGTATATACCGCGAGACGTAGCTGTTCCTCGAAGCATGTTCACTCATTACCGCGACCTAAGAAGCGAAGCCGAGGCTAGAGGCGGAATCGAGCGAAACGAGATTAAAACTCTGAAGGAAATACTGTGTAAATTCATTGCTGCCAGGTGTCTGGTCCGTCGAAAAGGGGCCACCGTTGCACGAGGAATTTCTGATAGCGTTAAAATGCGCCTAACGAGCGCTCTCCCACTTTCTCGCCACCCTTCGCTTACACCTCTCGTGAACGCTTCCCTTTTCAGCTTTACTCGTTGCACACCGGTCCCTTCGATTGCTCGTTTTCTTTAATCGACGAACCAACTGTACAAGTACGAAACGCTCTCTCGCCTCGACGTTGCTTTCACAGTTTTTACGTGCATCCGTTCCGATGTAAATTCTATTACCGGTAGAGTAGGGTTATTGAAAGTATCGAAGTTGAACCGAGAAAATGTCCAAATTTAATGAATCTCGAAGAATTTCAAATAATTTTATAATTATTTAATGCTGAGGTTTGTTCGAAGCTTATATTATTATTATTAGATTAGTGAGCAAAATTAGTTAAGAAAGCTCATTAGTCAAAACTCGTGATTTTCATTGAAGAGGGTGGAAACTGGATTCAGAAGTTCATTGGAACTTGTCGACTTATCCCTGTAATTAGATTGAAGGTAACACTTAGCGAAAATGTTTCTTCCGTTCCTCGAAAATCCCGGCAGATTAATTTGCAATTATATACGTGATACTAGTTTCCCGAGAATGAAGTCGCAAACTTTCTCGCATTCTAGCTCTTGTCGTATATCATAATACTTGCATAAACTTCCGGATAGGGAAATATGAAGTTTAAGAAAGTTCCGAGTGGTGGGTGGAACGCGAACGACACCTAACTATTCTCGCTTAAAAATTCGAAAAATTCGAAAAAAGAAGAATGCGCTTGTACTGTCCTTCATTCTTCTTGCTGTATCAAGAAGAATTTTAGCGAGAAATTTCTTGGAAATATTTATCCATTCTCGTCCCTCTGTTTCTCTTTGTAAAATTTTCTTGCCCTTAAGAGGGAAATGTCATTTGAAATAAAAGTACTCTTGGGTGAAAGGTTAGGTGGATAGGGGGGTAAGAAACGTCGTTTCGCATGAAGAATTTTTACAAAAGTAAAACGATGTCACTCGAGAAGACGTCTTATTGAGCGTTTTATTATCGGGACGAAGTATAAAGAAGTAAGAGAAGCGTTACTTTAGAATAGTGGCAATTTCGAACGTCCAAGTGTAATGAAATGTGACAGTAAGGGAGAAGAAAGTTGGAGGCGCGCGAGCGGTTGCGAGAAACGAAAGAAGAAAAACGTCGAGTGTTAGAAAACTCGAATATACGAGCTTGATGACAGACTGAATGTCTATTTGAAAAATATTTCATTTCGGATCTTTTAGTGTAAGAAGGTTCCTCTGAGAAAAATAAGTATATATTTGAAAGACTCGAGCAGTGATCAAATTTAGCCGAAGAATTTTCCAAATTTTTCAAATTTCTGAAATGCTCTCGAAGGGAATGAAATTTCCATATAGATAATTCCATAAGAGGAAATGAATTTAGTCGAGTCGGGCAACGAACGTCATATACGTTCCAGAAGATCTATAGTCTATAGCCTCAAAATCAATTAGCGGTGGACTTATAGTACTTGCTACCCAGACCCTTCGCATAAAGGGTGTTTCAAGGGTCATTGCCGGAAGATCATAAATTAATAATATTATCCTAGCCAGGGTATTCGAAGAGATGCTTCCATGTTTCACCTCCGAGCCGTTTAAATGCATAGATACTTGTCCCACTTATTACACTTTAATTACTTAATTAAATATTAATTACACGAAGAAATATGGATAGTATCTTCTGACGATACCTAAATCATATGTAAAATGAATCTAGACTCGGATAAAGATAAAGCACATCAGTTACTTTCTTTATAAACAAGAAAATGGATGCTCCTCTTCTCATCAATCTTATTTTTCCCTCGCTGTCGCGCGTTTCACACGAGCAGGAAATACAAGAACATTAACCATCAAACTTGAACATTTTCCCGAGGCCGAGTCCTTTCTCGTTACACCAGAAATTATCCGTGAAATGACCGTGGACAGAGTACGATTAATTTTCATTCGTCTCCGTTCACGCGTGCATGCAATTTCCATGCACGTTTTGCTTGGAAAGTTGAGAAATAGCTGTGCAGGTAGACGAATACAGAGACGGTGAATTGGGCCGTGCTCGTGGTAAAAGCTCGCTGACCCGAGTGTAGTAATACGTTCCGACACCTTAGATTGATTAAGCGGCAGACAGGCTGCTTGAAAATGTCTCGCATCTGTCACCGAGCTTTTCCACCTCCGAGCAGTCTCGCGCGCTGAAAAACACCGTGGCGAACCAAAAAGAATTCTCTATATTCGTGGTCATTCTTCAGGGTGTAAACCCACCCCATTGTTCGGTCGAAGGAAACCTTCTTACCAGATACTTCTGGTGAAGGGTTTTCAGCCAGTTTCTATTATTATCCGAAAAATTCGAGACGATATTAATTCTTTCGGTGTTAAAAAAGGAAAGAGAACAGGAACAGAAGGAAAGAAAGAAACGTAGGTGTTCCTCGCGTGGAAACTGTTTCCAATTTCGCGGATGTTTCGTCGCGTACTGAATCGTCAAACAGCGAGTTTCAGGGAGGACTATTTTTCATTTCCTAAGTACTCGCTTCTTTTAGGATCATCTCTTATATAGTTTCTTGGAAATTTATGCTACATTTATGTAATTTTTAAAGCGTTCAGATAATCAAGATTCTTAGTGAAAAACAAACAGAAAGAGATTATCAAGATCTGCCCGGGAAGGTACCGAAAACTCCTCTCACTTCTTGACAGGGTGGTCCTAAATTTTCATTGCAAAGTAACTTTGGAAAGCAAGCTTGGCGGTGTGGCTTTGCGAGGGGATTTACCGGTGGCCCGTTTCTCTCATTGTTTTCACGACGTTAGGATGATGGAAGGGCTAGGAGGAGAGGCTTCGTCGAAGAATCGTCGCCAGTCCGAAGTTTCGACCCCTTGAAAACGATTGTTCTCGAGCAGCCCCGCGAAAACCTAGCCGGCTTTCTCCTTCCTTTTCCACTTAAGTAATGGTTCTCGCCGGTGTTGCAATTTCTGGCTAATGGAACGATATCCTACTTCTTTTTTCGTCCTTCCGTTTGTTGGCTACGCGAGCGGCCACGCCAGCAACGGCATCCGGTTTCGAGTGATTGTTTCGTCGCGGTATATGCAAATTCACCTATCGAGCCACGCAATTAACAAATTACAACACGATTTTCCTAATTTTTCCTTTTTCGTTTTCTCATTGCGATTGTTGGGAATTTTAAATATCTACGACTGCAACTCTACCTATCAAAGATGTTTGTATTTTTAACAAAATTTATTTAAAAAAATAGAATCTCAGTTCCTTTGATATCTCGCAGTTGGAAGATTTGTTCATCGAGAATTTCTCGTTTGCTCGCGATAGAAAACACCGGTTCTACGAGTGATTTTGTGAAAATTGAGTTCCATCTCGTTTCGAGCACGAGGTTGAATCACGATCCTTAAGGATCGGAAAGAAGAAGCATTTCAAGGATAATCCGTAGCATCGTTGCGTCTGTACAGGTAGCAATCAGGACACAAGAGAAGCCCGATTGAGATTGGCCGGATTTAAGCATCATTAGTAGACGCGGAGCTACACATATGTAGGTAGATGAGTAAGCTGATTGAGTTTATCGGATCGGCGAATTGCCAAGCGTCTCCTCGCTGAAGGACCCTCTTTCATTTCCAATTCTTGCCCGTTTCTCGGCTCGTTCGTTTCAACCAGTTCGTTTCGTTTCTCTTTTCTTTTATCTTCCTTCTCCCTTTCGCCTACGTCTTCTCGATAAAAGTTCAATAATCCTATGGACCCGATGTAATCCAGCACCGACGATAATCCGAGCTTTCGTTAATTTATTATTCACGTAGACCTGGTGTGCAGCTCGGTCGAGTGCTTTACATTTACGCTCGAATCGAACGGTTTCGCTAAATTGCGTGAAAAGGGGCTAATTCGTT